AGACAGATTGGTAAGAAACCAAATGGATGGAAATGATGGATGTATGAATGTTTGGAATCACGGAACTCCATAACGACTAAACGGATCAGTATAACATTTAAAAATTTAAATTTGGAACCGAAACAAATAAGCTAAATTAGCTATTAAGTGTAGGCATATGGATGGATTGAAACTGGTAAATGGAGAAAGACACACTCACAATTGCACAAAGAAATATATTTTTCTTTTACTTTTTTCAGATGTATTTGGACGGACAGAATAATTTGTTGCTTTATACAGAAGAAGACAAGCAGGCAGTGAAAAAAGAAATAGGATTAAAAGATAGTGTACTAGAAGAAGATATTGATGCCATACTTGAATGGTTTAAAAAGGAACCACATTTAGCCGAGTCACCAATAGGTAGTTACATTTTTTACACGCATAATTTTTCTAAGTAAATTCCACTGTATTTCAATATAAAATTGATTTAAAAGTACAATAAAATAATTTAAGACATAAAATTTTTAGATTTTTTTTTAACATTAAATTGTATCATATTAATTTTCAGAACGTCATTTAATTGAGAAATTTCTCGTCGTTGCGAAAGGTTCTCGCGAGAAAACGAAAAAACGAATTGATAATTTTTACAAGTACAGAACTCTTGCACCGGAGCTTATACAAAGTAGAATCGACGCACTCACAAAGCCGGACCATAAATTGTGGACCTTCTTGTAAGTTATTTAAAAAAAATACTAGCGAACTAATTAAATAATATATTTAAACGTAGCCTACATGTTCTCCCAGACTGTTCTATATGGATGCCAAATTTCATCAAGATCCGTTCAGCCGTTCTAAAGATACCTTCAAACAATCATCCATCCATCTAAACATTCGCATTTATAATATTAGTAAGATTATTCAATTTAGCGCCTGCGAAAATTTTAATGGTATGAAAATTTATGTGACAACTCACAATCACTACTAAAAAACTTAATAAGCACAAAAATAAATGCAAAATCCCGCTATTTTTACGTTAGCACAATCAAAAGTCTGAACCACAAAAAATGTTTCTCACTGGCATTTTATAAGCATAAATTCATTTAAAATAAAAAAAAAACGAAGAATATTTTGATTTAATTTAAGACTAGCGGTCGCTCAGGACTTTGTTAGTGCAAAATTAAATAGAAGTAGACTATAATATTCCCACACATCAGCTGTCTAACAGCTCTAAATAAAGACACATTAACAAAATCCAACAACGTAACTTAGTAACGGCGGGTATATATTATTTATTTTATAAAATATTATTTATTTTTGGTAGTATTTATCATTTTTTTTTAAAGTTTCGATTACACATTTATAATTGTCAGATCAAATGAACGTCGTTACAATGTTGCATCGAAAAGCATGGATACTAAATTCGATTAACATAAGTTTGAAGTCCAAATCGATTAATTTACTTTAATCGATGTTCTAAGCAGCTCACCTCGTTATGAAGCTATTATAAAGTTGATATACGTCAAATGTACCCTATTAAATTGACTCGCTCATACGTACGTAATGTTTCCCATACAAAAAAAAAATCATATGTTTTTGTTTCAGTCGTCAAGCAATTATTCCAAAATTATACGATGGGAAAAGAATAACAGTTGTTGGGTTTAGCGGTGACGCGTCCGCTTTTGATACTGAAGTTATGTATAGAAATATTATACTTGTAAGTATTACTCGATGTCTTTTAAGTACTATATAAATTCAAAACTACGTTTGAATTCTAAATATAAGCAAGAAGTTTCATTAAGCCATATAAAACTTTTTTAATAGAATACTAGGTGTCGCCCGCGACTCCGTCCGCGTGGAATGAAAAAATTTAATTAGTTCCCGGCAATTGTTCGAATTTTTCTCACCTTTTAAACCTTCCATAGACCTCCACGAACATTTCAAAACCAAGATAAATTAAATCAGTTCAGCAGTTCCCGAGTTTTAGCGAGACTAACGACCAGTAATTGATTTTTATATATGTATAGATTTAGGGTATAGACGGGTTTTCTGGTGTTCTCAAAACATCTTACTAAAGTTTCATCAAAATCTGTCCCGAAATTTAAGAATGCATAAGGGATAAAGTAACAAATAATTATACAGGATGTCCAGGAAAGACGTATACAACGGTGTACAAAGTTATATTTTTAATATTGCTTTATGTTTTACAGACGGTTGACCTACGTTTAAAGTACGATTACATGTTCTCCGATATTTGGATAGTGGACTTAAATAACACGGGACTTGGACATTTATTGCGTGTGAATCCAGTTATACTTCAGAAGGCAGTGAATTTATATCAGGTGAAGTATGAAGGAACGCATAATAATGATGTTAAAATTAAACTTCCATTGTATTCTGATACGTCACCCCTGTGTGTTTCTCTGTCTGTCTCTGTTTTTACGGAGGGAATGAGAGAGACGGTGGATTAAAGTACGACTTAGACCATGGTTGGTGCTGAAAGCGGAGTGTACTCATTTTGTATAGGATGTTCTTTTGTTATTTGCATGAGACGACTAGCTTATAGTCTTCCCTTAATCTATTTTAACTTGATAAATATAAGAATCTCGTGTCAATATATATGTATGTATGAATTGTGGAATAGCTTTTAATTCGATTGTTATTCTTACTTTTGTCATTTTATTATGAATTTATATTTATCGAAGTTTTAAATTCCAGGAAAGTGTTGGTATAAGAGTCAAACACATACATTGCGTGAACGCACCAGTTTTCGGACATCATGTTGTAAATTTCATGAAGAAATTTGTAAAAGCAAAGATGATTGATCGTGTTATAATACACGATACTATGGAAAGTCTGCACAAATATGTGCCCAAAGAGTATCTTCCAAAGGATTACGGTGGCGATATGCCGTCACTTGTAGAATTTACTGGTATGTAAATTTATTCGCACATGACTTAATTCTTTGACAGCACCGTTGTCGATCAAATATGATGGTGTGCTGGTAAATTTTAAGATTCAAGTTGGCAATCAGGTCCGTTGTCATGACCCAGATTTTTCGGGGCCAAAAGATTAGCTAGATCCGGTAATAATTCTGTGTTTCTCAAAGTTGAATAGTATTTCAATTGAGTAGATTATTAGTTGAAGCACGACTTGTCTAATCTAAAAATGTCTAAAGATGGATGGATGGATGTTTGTTTGAAGGTATCTCCAGAACGGCTGTATAGATCTCACTAAAATTTGGTGTAGATATAGAACATACCCTGGAAGAACACATAAGCTAACAATTAAGTTTTTATTTTTAAATTCCGCTCTAACGTAGTCGCGGACTATAGCTAGTAATGTAATATTTATTTAGAAGACGTTGTTTGGCTAACATTTTTAAAATTTTATTTTTCTGTTTCCAGAAAGTCTAAATAGAGAAGTGAAGAATGAAAAAATTAAGGGAGTGCTTATAGATTATTGTAAACTTGTTTCCGATGAAAGCAAGAGACCTCGAGAAAAATATGACGAAGAGTGTATTGTTGGTTCATTTAAGAAGTTAGATTTTGATTGAATTAAAATCCAGCAAAATGTGGTGTTAGACCAAACCTTAGACACAATAAAATTAAATTATGATTCTAAATTCTAAGTAATATATAATATGAAGTGAAGTTTTAATTACATTTTTTTTGTGACTGATTGCCACTGTTTGCCTTGAGGAGGCATTTACAGCTTCACCGGGCTTGAGGTGGCCGAGCGCAGATGGCACTTAGCCTAAACCTCGTTTAAGAGTAACTAAGCTCGAGGGCTCCCTCAGGAACCGAGGTTCCTGAGGGAGCCTCCGAGCCGAGGCTCAGGCCGTTACTTTAATTACAACTATTTGCTGTGGGTTTTCTATGACCGAAATCTTTGTGTAAAAAATATCGTCATCTCTGTCATCTTTGACAAAACAGAGATAATAAGAAGTTTTAAACGGAGATTTTGGTCTCTTAAACCCTCGATTCGTCACTTAGAAAGTTTAAAACAAAATATCAATTCATACTAAGATAATTCACGTCCTGTTTTTTTATTCCTATTTAATAAATATGTATTAGCCAAACTTATAGTCAACAATCTTGACAATATAAAATTGTATTCAGATAAGTATTGCTTTTATATCAAAGATTCTTTCTTATATTTTCCCGGTATTATGGGAACTAGGGCAACGCTTGAATGCATTCGTTCAGTCATGTCCGAGTGACTCTTTATCAATGTTGACGGAAAAAACATGTGCAAAATTATTCTTGTGGTTTCATAAATCAACATTTTAAACTTTGTTATGTTCATAATAGTAGTAATTGTACCTTCATAAAATAAATAGTATTAAACAATATATGTGTATGTATTATTCCAATAAATATAGTTAGGCATTGTTTAACTGAACCTTTGATTTACTAATCTTACTAATATTATAAATGCGAATGCTTAGATATATTAATTAATGGGTGTTTGTTACAAGCTATCTCCAGAATGGACTCGCATGGATCTTCCATGGATCTCATTGAAATTTGGCATAGAGGCAGAACATAGTCTGGAAGAATTCACCATAGGTTACTTAATATATTTTTCTAAGAACTCCTGGTCTGCTGCCCATCCCTTCACACTGACCAAAGATTTTTATCGCAAATAAAGTGAATATTGAGGTTGCTATTGAAACTAAGTTTAATTTACTTTTTACGTCATTTTCATGCTTGCTCTTGATAAATATCGGGTCAATCATTTCGGAGATGACGCGCAATAATAGCGGATTTGCGGACAGGCAGACGGACAAAAATAAAAATAAAAAACGATTTTCGTTGTAATAATAATCAACGTAAATATTATACATGTTCGCGAAATACGATTTTTTTTTATAAAACACACTTCCATTTCATTAGTTGTATAGATAAAATATTTGCAAGAGTCTAAGAATCATCATCAATTTTAAAAAGCACACGTGCGAAAAAAGGATTAAGCAAATATAGTTTGTAATAAAGTTTGCTGGTCATTTAAAGATATTAAAGTATCCATCACTCTTTTTAATCGAATTCAAGTTTTCTAAATGAACCGTCACATCCAAAGAATTCATCACAACTTAAAACTCTTGTTCGCCTGGATTCGTCGCTTATGACTTTGTCTTGGTCAATAAAATATTGTCGCCAGGCGTCAGATTGAAACATTTTTCTCCACTCCTCTGAAATATAAGTTCAGTTTTTATTATCAATGTTTACGTTCCTTATTGTTTTGTAAATGTATAAATATTTGTGAAGCTGACTGTATTTATCCGAAGTTCTAATGGTATAGGAAAATATCTTGATGCAGCATGGAGATTGACTTGCAATCTGCAGGTCCTGGGTTCGAATCCCACCATGTACCAATGTGTTTTTCATTGGAGATTCAAGGAAAACATTGTGATGCAACCTGCACATATCTGAGAAGAAATTCAAAGATATGTGTGAAGTCAACCAACCCGCACTGGGCCAGCGTGGTTGACTATGGCTTAGTCACGGGTAGGTAAACGGTAGAGTAGACTATGGTCGTGACATTGGGTAGGCTCTAAACCCCTCGGTGGGGACATATAGTGTGCTGATGATTATGAACATGAATATAAAGAATATGACAATGTATGTGAAGTCAGTCAACTAGGGGGCCAGCGTAGTTTTCTATGGCCTAGTTACCTCTAACTAGAGTAGGCTCCAAGCACATCGGTAAAGTCATATATGATATACGAGTATGAGCCTTTATGTCATATAGACACAACATCATCATCAGCTCACTTTAGGTCCCTACTGAGGAGCTCGGAGGCTACCCTAAGTAAAGAATGACTAGGCTTTAACCACGCTGGCCCAGTTCGGGTTGACTTCTATATGTTCAAAGACACAACGTAGTTTAACTTTATAAATTAGTATCTTTTCATTCCAAATTACCTGTGACTTCATCGAAACTAAACTCATCCCCTCCATATTCTTTAGGTAACATACTTTTAGGGAATACATTAGCAATATCTTCGGGCTTCGAATGTATTTTAATTCTTTCAGCAATTTTGGGTTTTAATAATTTTTTTATCAAATTAAGTATCGGTATAGCGAAAGATGGCATATTTATTAAATGTATCCCTTTAAGTTTAGCTCCATGACAATACTGGAAATAAAATACATATATAAATTATTACGATTATTTTTTCATTTTCTCATTGGTAATAATATAGTAGACTGATATTTTATTAAAACAACATGTAACATATGTATACAGTCTTCACTGATTGGTTTAACTGATTACGCGGAAAGACATTTTTTTATTCCTATATATCTTTATCCTTTCCTACCCTTTATCTTGTGAGGAAAGGATGGGAAGTGGAAATAGATTTTCCGAATGAGAGAATGCATGGGAAGGGAAAATATTTTCTTACTGCGCATTCCCTCCTCCGTCGATTAAAGGTAGGCAACGCATCTGCAATTGTGTATGTCTATGGGCAGCGGTCGCTTCGCTATTTTAGCGATTTCATCGCTCGCTCGTTTGCCTCCTTATTATAAATAGAAGAATACTCTGTGGAGCCAAGACTATAATATTACTTACAAATATATAATACAACATTTTTGTAACAACTGGCGGAGTCATCTGCACTGTGTTGCTGAATCTTACATTGGTAAGATCATAAACATATTGCTGGCCCATATTTAAATCGTTATGTCTGATATAATCTAGTATCATAAAAGCTATTTTAATAATTTCGATTACAACGAACTCACGAGGCGATTTTATTCTGAAATGAAACAAAGATTCTTAAAACAATTGATACAAAGATGTGGGAAGTGAACAGTGAACCTAAAAATTGCTAGTAGGAAAATGCTCCCGGAGCTTGCGATAGCACAAGATTCCAAATTACACTGGCCAGCAACAAAATCCTTCTTTAAGAAATTTATTCATAAATATAGAGATTTTATCGCGATGAATCTATTTATGTTAATAGATTTTTTGTATAGCGTCTAGATATTTTTTTTTAATTCAAGTTAGTATGTATTAAGTATTTTGGCAATTAATAGGAAAAACAAAAAAAAAATTCCAACTTTTATTCTATAAAATCTGATGTTTTTTTATATCTCGCGTATAAAAAGCTATCGCGACGAATGTTGTAAAGAAGCGAGTTTTTTGTTAACCAGTGTCATTCAAATCATAAACGAATCATGACCTTTTCAAATCCGGTCGTGACTAATTTTCAAAGCATGTGTGTTCAAAATAAACATCGTAGTAAAACAGATGCAATAAAAGCTTGCGATATGTTATAAATTCGTAATCATTAAGACATTTAATTTTTTTATTAATTAAATTTATGGCGATTAAACTTTGTAGTCTAGTTATTGAATACGTCAAGCGTCGGTGGCTGAGGAGTTGAGGACTTGACTTGCAATCTACAGGTCCTGGGTTCGAATCCCGCCATGTAGCAATATGTTTTTTTTATTTTCTTACTAAATTTTGCCTCTGTGTAGACTAAGCTCTAGATCTAAGCTAATTTCATCGAGATCAATGGAGCTATTTGGAGATACCTTTTAACAAACATTTATCCATCCATCTAAACATTCGCATTTATAATAAGATAGAACAGAAGACGTACCTGAATATCGCAACACGGTGATTATCTGGTGTCTTGTTTGGTAATACGGCGAAGAAACCATATCTCAAATATTCATCGGTAATTGGGGATAAAGGATCTCTATTTAGTAAGAATTCAGGCATTTTATGTTTAGCTGATATAGATGCATCTATTTTATCTTTAACCTTTTCAATGCGAAATTTTGTCGAGACTAAAAGTCGAAACATTACTCTATCATCTGAAAAAAAAACATAAAATCTCATTAACGTCCTTAGTATACCTCAGCCGCTAAATAACAGCAGCTGTACCGCTAGATTAATTCCGCTGCGATCAACTGTAGATTGATTACCGAAATTTCAGTAACGGAATTGGACATCGGAAGAAAGTTTTCTGTAAAATAGATTTGTATGATAAAAACGTCTGCCACAAACACTTGGGAAAATAACGTGACGCTTTAAAAAAGTGGCGACGAGAGCGAAGAAGTGTGGTTGTCGTCGGAGCAGATCGACGATACCGCGCGAGGAAAAACATAGAATTACAGTCAAATTTAGCATCAGAACGGGCTGTTTCGCTTACGTTCCACTTCTCATACACCTTGCCAAATATTAGTAATAATAATTACCGCGGTTCCGCTTAAATATTAAAGGTAAATTTAAGTGTATTTATCAGACGTAACGAGAAATGACTTCCATTTTACGCCTGTCTTCTGTTGGTCTTTGCAGTCGTGTGGTTCATTTATGCAGCAGACCTACTCCTGTTAAAATGTGTTAAATCATAAAATAATTACCTAATTTAATTTTAGGTAGATGCGGTTGTTTTTCATACCAATCTTGAATCGAAGCAATAATTTCTTGCAATTGCTTTTCCGTCACGTTATATTTCTTGAGGAATACATGCACATCTTGTAAAGACACTCGAAGTAGCTTCTCTTCATCACGGGACAGATCTGAGTTCCAGTTCTACAAGTTTTCAGACTAATTAGCGCGGCTAGACAAAGTGCATTCGGATCGAAGCGATTCCACAGTAACAATCACGTGATTTATCGAAAATTATTATCAGTTCTTTACATTTTTGAAGTTCGCTATGGAATCGCTTCGAAGCGAATGCACTTTGTTTAGCCCCGAAGATCAGTAAGTAACACTGCTACGCGATTAGATTATATTCAAGGTTAATCTGGTAATATTTTAAAATCCTTCGTAGCTATTGAAGTTAAAAAATTCTATCTTCTATAGTTTTAAGGATTATATTGGCAATTTACGTTTCATGCCATTGTCGGGTAATTGTAATATCGCTGAGAAGAGTTTGGCGCAATGAATGCACGTCATAAAAAGCGAGGTCGCCTGCGTTATACTTGTTCTTGAATAATTATAAATTTATATGAATACATTAATGTTATTACAAATAAACCACGAAGCGACGAAACTGGTTTATCTAGTTATATGATAATTTTTGGTAAATGTATTGTAATAATTTGTATTAACAGTCGCCCGCGACTTTAAAAGTTATATGTTCTTCCAGTCTATTCTACATCTGTGCTAAATTTCATCAAGACCCGTTGACCCGTTCCGATGACACATTCTAACATTCATCCATATTAATGCACATTTGTAATATTAGCAAGACAACTTGATATTAGATTATAGACCAATCTTACTAATATTATAAATGCGAATGTTTGGATGAAGTTATCTCCGGATTGACTCAACGGATTTTGATGCATTATTAGGCTACTTATTCAGTTTTTTTTTTAATTCAGCGCGGACAGAGTCGCGGTTGACTGCTAATATAACAATAAAGGTGTGCTTACATGTTGATGAAGATCACATAAAAGTTATGTGGGAAGAAACGACGAGAAACAAGACATAGAAACAAAACTAATTTTTCAATTTTAAGCTGTAGTTAAAATTGGTAATCATAAACCGCTTGCGGCAAGCAAGCGGTTTGAATAGACAACCACTTTGTTTCACGCGAAAGTCGCTTCCTTTCATTGTACGGTAAAAGTAATAAATATAAATAAGAATATCATAAATGTGCAGAAAAATTTAATTGAATGGTCAAATTTCTTTGTTAATATTACATAGTACGAACATTACAAATCTTACTAACATATTAAATGCGAAAGTTTATATGGATGGATGTTACAAGGTATTATTGGTACAAGGTATCTCCGGAACGGCTCAAGGGATCGTAATTAAATTTTGCACAGATGTAGAACATAGTCTAGACGAACATATATAGTATTTATTTAGTTTTTTTTTAAATTCCGTATGAAAGGAGTCGCGCGTCGAAGTCGCGGGAGTCAGCTCGAAATTGAGTAAAAATTCTGCGCATTATTATTTACAAGTTGGTACTTAACTACACTTATAAAATAAAATAACGTACCATTTTTGTATAATCCACCAGTAACTTGATTGTAATTATTTTATAAAACAATTTAAAAATACCAACAACAAAACTGGCTTCCTCCCACCTTCGTCAGTAAATGAAACTAATGTTAGATGCAAAGTTTATTTTGTTTTTATATCAAAACTACAATCAACAGTTGCTATTCATTCAGTCAGCACAGACCGTGTTCATTCGCTGCACAGTTGTAAAGTACAAAAAAAATCGTAATTATCAAGCTATTGTTTGTATTAAAAATTGAGGCTTGCGTGTACAATTATTTAATCACAATTTCCTTATTTCTTCTTCTTCGTATTCTTCATTACTGAAGGTCGTGCTTGTCTTGGTACGCTTCAACGGCCGTGTCGACCAGCTGCCTCCACGCCGTCCTGTCTTCGGCTTGTCTCAGGGCAGTCGTGATATTAAGTCCCAATATAGCCTGCACTTGATCGGACCACCGAGTAGGTGATCGGCCCCGTAACCTTTTACCCTCGATCTTTCCGACCACAACCAATTTGTCTAGGTTGTCGGAGTTTCTCCGGGCAATATGTCCAAAGTAGCCTAGGACTCGTCGGTAGCATGTTCGTTAGCATTTCCTTATTACATTGACACAATACAGATAAAATACAATAGATGATCGGTCGCCCGCGACTCCGTCTGCGCGAAATTAAAAAAAAATCAGTAGCCTATGTGTTCTGCCATACTACGTTCTACATCTGTGCTAAATTTCACCAAGATCTGTTGAGCCGTTCTGGAGATACCTTGTAACAAACATCCATCCAAGCATTTAAACATACGCATTTATAATATTAGTAAAATAGGCTTAAATAACAAGTGTTCCGTGTGCGTAAATTTGTAAAAGAATATGTTTTAAGTAATAGTTACCGTAAACCTATAGATTCAAACGTAGAAATCTTACAGTACCATCTCGGTAGAACCAGATTAGTCATTTCTAAAAGAGAGGTAGATAATTTTTTAACAGAAAATAATATAAAATTATTTAGGATATGGAAGAGAATAGGAGGGGAAAATGGTGTATCTTTTTTTATGTCATCCTAGTATATTAGTAAAATTTAAGTTAAATTTTGTTGTCAAAAAAAAAGTGTCTAAATTATTTTATTACATTACTAATTCTTTGATTTCTACATTATCAACTCACAATACTAAGCTAAACATTCATAGCTAATCTCGTATCTACAAACTATAATAAAAAAGTATTAACACGACTTTCTTCTTCTTTTTTTTCTTCTTAAAAAAATTGAAATTAGAATCCTGTAGATTGACAAATATTTTCTTCATTAAATTTGTTATTGCCTCAAAATTTCCAATCGTAATGTTCAATCAAAATCCATTTCATATTCAGTCAACTTCGAGTTTCCTAAAAGAACCTTCAAGGCCAAAGAAATCGTCGGAATTCAAAATTCTTGTCCTTAGTGCTTCATCGCTCATTACTTTGTCTTCTTCAGCAAAGTATTCAATCCAAGCATCTGATTGTAATGCTTTTCTCCAATTCTCTAAAATAAATATAAATTCCATAAATAGCACGAAATAAGACGGTGTATTCCTATCTATTACCGTGGGTTTCAGATACTAAAACCTCTGTTTAAAACATGTTGTTATCTCTGTTTTGTCAAAGATGAAAGACAGGTATAAGGATATATTTTATACTGAGATGTTTGTATCAGAAACTCACGTTTAGTTATAAAAAATTGAACCTCAACACTGTAAGAAATTCCCTATCGAAATCTTCGTATCTCAGTGCATAGTTAATGCATTTCTTTATAATAATTTGGTTGTCTAATTTCATATCGTGTTACTATTTTATAGATATACTATTGGTCTCCGAGATCAAACACTCTGTATAAAACATATCGTCATCCCAGTCATTATCTTTAAGAAAACAGAGATAACAATAAGTTTTAAAGTAGAATCTTGGTCTCAGAAATCCACGGTGAGCTACGTACCTGTAATTTCATCGCAAGTTATTTCATCACCTCCGTATTCTTTTGGCAAAATAGTTTTGGAAATCAAATTATTAAGGTCATTGAAGCTGCTGTATACATAAATTCTTTTAGCAACTTTCGGTTTCATTAATTTCTTCAATATGTTTATTATGGGTATTATAAATGATGGCATGTTCACGAAATGTATCCCTTTTATCTTTGCACCGTAACAAAACTGAAAAAGACAATGATATAATGAAGTATTTATTAGGACAGAACTAATTCTATGTTAAAAATATAACAGATAAGTTCGGAGTTATAATCTTCTTATAAATTTAAAAATCAATTGCTGTTCGTTAGTGTCGCTAAAACTCGAGAATCCCTGAACGGATTTATCTTATCGTCGTCTTGTAATGTTGGTGGAGGTCTAGGGAAGGTTTTAAAGGTGACAAAAATTCAAATAAGTGCCGGGAACTAAGTTTTTTTTTATATTAATATTCTAATATCGGTAGGGACGTAATGCCTCACGCAACAGTTGTAACAAAAAATTACTACAAAAGAAAACATAAGTGAAATACCAACCACCAATAACTATGATATAGTGAATAATTTTCAATTATTACAACTTAAAGTGATTAGATATTTTTTATCAGACAACACTGATCTGCAATGAAATCCTCGTTTAAAAATTTTGTCATAAAGAAGACGTTTCAAATGTTCTGAATCTATCCCCGTTGGCCGATTTTTTCTATCACGTCTAGATTTTTTTTTTAAATAATTTTAGTTTTTTTATTTTTTGCGCGTCAGTTGTATCATTAAAATTAAAAAAAAAACATATCAAAAAATCTAGACCTGATGGAAAAAATCCACGGACGAGGATAGATTTAGAACATTTGTTTACTCATATTTATGACAATTTTTTTAGGAGGATTTATTAGCAAGGTATTAGCATGTTATGAGGAAGGAATAATTGCATAGGAGAAGGGTCCTATGCAATTCTTCGTCTTACCATTGTAAAAAGAGAAGAGAAGGAATGACAGAAACGAGATGAATTTGGAGGACTAAAATCTGGCAAATCCTTAATAAGAGGAAAAAGGAACGGGATATGATGAATTTTACTATAATGAGAAAAAATTAAAATTGTACCCGTGTCTTAAAAGAAAACTTACCCGTAAGTAAAAGATAAGTTTTGTGAGAAGAGCTGGTGTCATTTGTACGGAATTATGAAATGATACATTTGTCAGGTCAAATATCCATTGTTCGCCAAGTGATGAATCATTGTACATGCGATACGCCAAAAACATTGAAGCTATTTTGACGACATCCGATGCAACCAAATCAATAGGCTGCTTTATTCTGAAACAGATCATAAAATTACTTCAACAAGATAAAAACTAAGATAGGATAGAGCGACCTCGTAGAGGAAAAAATGCACAGGAATGTATATTTTTCCGCAATCCTGCATTCCTTTACGTTCAACCTATACACGGTTAATTATTAACTACCAAGAAAAAAACAGGTAATGTAAATTGCATTTAAGATATTAAATGTATAATCATTGCTCATAGTGATCAATGGCTCAGAGGTCAAGCACTTAACTTGCAATCTGCAGATTCTGGTTTCGAATCCCGCCATCTACCAATGTGTTTTTCGATTTCCGATTTACATATGTATATTTATACGACGATGTTACGGTGAAGGAAAACATAGTAATGCAACCTGCACATGTCTGAGAAGAAATTCAAAAGATATGTGTGAAGTCAACCAACCCGCACTTGGCCAGCGTGGTTGACTATGGCCTAATCACCCTTAACTTAGGGTAGGCTCCGAGCCCTTAGATAGGGACGTATAGTGAGCTGATGATGATGATGATGTAGTCATTATTGCATTTTACTCAACATAGCGATGACCATAGATGATGACAGACCATGGGTGTCGGATGAATAAATACTAGGCTATCTCATCGTTTGCCTTCTATAAAAAAGTCTTTGTATTATATATTACCTGAAGATAGTGACACGATGGTTTCGCGGAGTTTTCTTTGGCAGTACCACTAGGAATCCGAATTTTAGATACTCATTTATTCTTGGTTCCAGAGGATCTCTGTTCAGCAATATTTCCGGCATCTTACGTTTTGCTGATACGCAATTATCAATCTTATCTTTTACTTCTTCAATGCTAAAACCTTTTAGCATCAAGTGTTGGAATATCATATGATTATCTATAATAGATGAAAAATAAATTACAACAAGGTTACAAGAACAGAAGTTATGCGCGGAGATCAAACATTTCAACGAGTCTTCACGTCAAAGCTTACTCTGTGTTCATACTTTCATATACATTTGTAAATTTTGCATTTAAGTCTTTATCATTTTCATCTCAATAAGGTTTTTTATATATTTGCGATGTAATCAATACACAAATATGTTAAAAAATTGGAATACCTTTTGCGTGTGTAAGTTCATTAATAAAAGTAGTTATTCAAGTTTGGGTCATTAAAGATACCGGATAGGTAACGGACAAGAATAATGTACTTAATTTAAAAAATGAATCGCTTTAAGGAGCAGGTGTGGCAAAATTTTTATATATCTATGTTTATCTATTTACCAAATTCAAATATCTTAAATTTTTTTATCGGGCAAACCCATAATGAGGAAATGCCAATAGAGGAAAAAAAACAACCCTTTTCACATAACTTAAATTGGGGAAGGTAGCATATGTATCAGTGTTAACATTTAGTTACTAATATTTAAAACTAGCTGTCGGCCGCGAGTCTGTTCACGCGGGATTAAAAAAAAATAATTAAAGCCTATGTGTTCTTCCAGATTATTTCTACATCTATGCCAAGTTTTAGGGAGATCCATGCAACTGTTCTGGAGATTCCTTCTAACAAAGATTTAAGTTTATAATATTAGTAAGGTACATACCCAATTTTCCTTTTGGTAGATGTGGTTGTTTCTCATACCATTCTTGTATTGAATAAATAATATCTTGTAATCCTTTAGACGACACATTGTAACGTTTTAATACATCAAATCTATCGTTTTCTGTTACATTTAGTAATTTTGGTACATCTCGTGATAATTCCGGATTTCTTTCCTGGAATTATTTAGTATACATAATTTACTTATCATATTTTTATTACTTTTACAGCTTTTTAATAGATATAATGCTGCTAGCTGTTAATGATCTCATAAAGAAACAGCTAAAGAGTTAAAATTTAAAAAAAAAAAACATTTTTTATCTTACGATCGACCGCGACTCCTTCCGTACGGAATTAAAAAAAAACATAACTAGTTACATGTGTTCTTCCAGACCATATTTTATATGTATGCTAAATTTCATCAAGATCCATTAAGCTGGAAATACCTTCAAACAAACATCCATCCATCCAAACTTTTGTATTTCTAATATTAGTAGGAAGTGAGCCTGGATAATTATATGAATGTCAGCGTATTATTTGACATTTTAAATACTTTAATTTTGTTTTACTAATTAATTTAAATAACATATAAATGTTTATATAAATAAAATACATAAACATATGCATGTTTTAAATTGCATGTAAGTTTTATTATTTAGTAAACTGTATTTTTTTATTTAAATTATGTATTAAAAATATTTTTTATAACTACTTACCATTTCCACGCTTTCGATCATTGTTAGAAAATTCCTGTATTCTTAAATTTTAATATTTTATATTTTTTTATTTTTAAAGTATATTTCTATATATATAAAAAAATCAAGCACCATGTCATGTCCATAGACGATTGTAAACTGTAAATCAAGCCCCTCCTGTTAGTCATTCCAATATATAGCATGTTATCAAAAAAAAAACGAACTCGTATTTCCAACATATTTAGGCTGCTTTGCCAAGGTTAACGATATCATATATTGACACGTTTCTCACGATTCTTTATGCCACGTGCAATAATTCATGTTTTACAATAATTTCTTTTGTTATCAATTCTATATTAATACTAGCTGTCGCCCGCGACTCCGTCCCCGCGGGATTAAAAATAGATGTTAGCCGATTCTCAGACCTACTCAATATGCTCACAAAATTTCATGAGAATCGGTCAAGCTGTTTCGGAGGAGTATGGGAACGAAAATTGTGATACGAGAATTTTATATATAAGATGTATTGTAGCACCACAACCACGTCTAGTTATCTTTGTCACAAAGACCTTTACTTAATATACTCTTTAGGCTATTATCAAGTGATATGCTATACTAGAAACTAAATTAATACCCTAGTGGCTCTTCCAGAATACATTTTACGTCAATGACAAATTTCAGCGAGGTCCTTGCAGATGTTCTGGAGATACCTAGTAACATTCGTCTATCCATCGATCCTACCAAACATTCGCATTTAATAATAGTATCAAGGTGGCAAACGTGCGAGCGGCCACCTGAAATCGCTGAAATAGCGAAGTGACCGTTGCCCATAGACATACGCAATTGCATATGCGTCAGCCTACCTTTAATCGACGGAGGAGAGGATGCACAGAAAGAAAATATTTTCCCTTTCCATGCATCCTAAGTAAGATGTCCATTCATATACTATTTTTAATATTATGAAAAATATGAGTATATTTCTTTAAATAAAAGAAACTAAGAATAATTTTGCATTTAACATTCACCTATACAAAACTTTAGGAATTGACTATTTAGTATCACACAAGATCTTATAAGCGTAAAAATTAAACTTAAATAAAAAGTATTGTGTGCATATTTAGTTTAGTTGAAAACATAAAATTTAGTTTTTATAAATTATTGAGAAATTATTACTCACCTTTATGGAATTTGATACGAACAATTAGTCTAAAAAAAAACAGAAGAAAACTTACCTGTGTGAAGTACCACTCTGTGCAAATAATAAACAAAAGAAAATAAAAAAAAACTAAGATGTTCACAATATGACCATAACTTTAATATATGTTATATAAAAACCAGGAAGTATAAAGCCTAAAACAAGATTTAAAAAATGTATCTTTTACGTCGCATTTTAATTTAATAGTGCGCAATGTTATTTCCTGAAAGGATAACAAATTCGTATAACATTTAACCAAAATTTTGGCCAAGTTTTTTTTAATCAAACAAATTTCATATAGAAGAGAGAAATTACTGTCAACCAAAAATAGGTAACGAGAAATATCTATATCCAGCATTCGATTAATAATAACTGATGATTTTGATGGTAGTTATTTGGTAGTAGTAGTAAAATCCAAACAACTCCGACTGACTCTGAGGGAATCATCATCAAAATCGGTTCAGTTTAGGCTCTAGGTCACAAAGAAAGTTACATACATACAAACTAGGATATTTTACAAATGCGTGAAAAACATATTGTCGTCCTTATCTTTGACAACACAGATATAAGAATGTTATTTAAACGGGGATTTTGATGTCAGAAAGCCACTGTAAGCCGGCTAAACATCTTCAGTTTTAACTGCACAGTCAAACTCGAACTGTACAGTTTTACTGTGAGTTCAGTTCAAGTCAAAACTGTACAATTAACAGACTGAATGTGATTGTTAACTCTATGATTATAATATTTTATTATTTTATACTTGTACTACATTAAATGCAAGTGACTTTTAACTTCTATTTTTGTTCTGACGCTTCGGGAGTAAGATATTTCAACTTAAGCACGTTCCCAGTTGAATATCTGGGCTAAGTGCTCACGTGGGTCTCTAAATTAACTAATGGTTACGGTAAATATGTTTATATAATCTACTATTTTCATTACTATTGCGGTACTGATGTTAAATACAAATTAATGTAACTTTTTAACTTAAATTTTGTTTGCTATAATAGGCAAAATAAACAGCGTCGGTGGCCTAGGGGTCAAGCACTTGACTTGCAATCTGCAGGTCCTGGGTTCGAATCCCGCCATGTACGCCATGTTTTTCGATTTCCTATTTACATATGTACATTTATCCGACGATCTTACGGTGAAGGAAAACATCGTGATGCAACCTGCACATATCTGAGAAGAAATTCAAAGATATGTGTAAAGTCAACCAACCCGCACTTCCAGCGTGGCTGACTATGACCTAGTCACCCCTAACTTATGGTAGGCTAGGGTAGGTAGGTAGGTAGACGAGCCCCTCGATGGGATGTATAGTGTATGATGAGGCAAAATAAATATTTTTAAATATTCTGTTTTGTCTTATCAAGCAATAAAAAATGCGCAATTTTTCTTTTTGTACTAATGTGCATGTTTCTTGTATGTAATAAATACTTATTTGTATGAGTATTTATTGAATTGCTATTGAAGTCTGTACGTTTTCCTTTATCATATGTCCAAAAAATCATTGTACCTATATTAATACGTGGGGGCAAAAACTGGATACAAAGTTTTTGTTTTTTTTTTTAAGAAATTGTGCGAAGACATGAATGTGAAAGACACAGTTCTAGTTTTAATATTGTGAAGTGATTAAAGCCGTATAATAAAAATGATTATGAATTATTTTCGAATTTCGAACAATAGATGACCACAGAATCTGTAACTATCATATTTACTTTAACAATTTATTAAGTAAAATACGCTGCAGTTTTCACCGAGCGCATGATACTCGGCGTACCTAAGGTAATATCAATTTGACTTCAACGTCTTATTTTAGTTTATACGAAGCCAATTCAATTTGCAAAGCAATTTGTTCTCAGCAAAGATTCTCATCTCGCAGTATTTACAAGAAGTCAGATCCGACGCCAAGCTTACAGCGCGGTATATTTATATCTAAAAAGTTTCATTGCCATATAAAAATATAGCTGTATGAAATAAAATAAAGGAAACATACTAGTTATTTTATGAAATAAACAGACATCAAAGACATATTTGAGTCAACAGACTTTCGGTTTTTATGTATAGTTATTTAAATATTTTAATATGGTGTATAACTTACGATATCATGTTTGAACTACGTATGACGACACCAAAAGCAAAAAATATTCTAGCGACATTTTTTCTAACAAGAAATCTATAGGAAAGGGAAATTGATTCGACGGAGAAGAGAAATAGGAGATTTAATTATTATTCTGTTTCTCCTCTTCTCTTTTCAATAAGGCATCTATTACGTATTACATTGTTGCAGATGTCTAAAACCTTCTATTTCAGCACTTTCCTTATTCATAAATCGTGGACTAAAAGTAAGTTTCTAGCCAGGAATTTCATGCTGCAGCTAATGCTGTCTGTACAACTATTACTTTGTCCTATATTCGTCGATAAAAAAGCTATAATTTGAATCTGTAAACCATACTCGGTATACGTTTTTGTACAGTACATTGAATATACTTCAGAGACTCACTCCATGAGACCGTAAACAGTAGCGTCTGCAGAAAACCATTTGCATAATAAATTCTGACAAACTGTAACCCTCGAGCTTGAACCGGTTAAATCCTCTTATTTATTGGACCAGGCGTGTCTGCATTCTGAATAATACAAACAATGCACCATCTTGCCTTCTGCTTTATGTATATATTGCTCTTTATCACGTTAAGATCGGTAAATTATGAACTAAAAGCAAATGCTCCAGTTCTTGCAAGAATTTCACAGTGAGCGAGGACTTTTGTCGACTATTCATTTTTAATATTAACAATATATTATTAACAATTAATAATAATAACAATAACATTTTTATAGCGGACTCATAGTCCATGGTCCATACAAAATTAAATTATTTTATGCCTTTGTTACTTTTAGCTTAAAAACCAATTTATTATGAAATGTAAGCTATATCTAGTATCGAAATCTGACTCCGTTTAGATCCTTTTTCCATTACCATGTATGGTCTCGTAACTCTTGGCGCGTGACAGATATTTTTATGAGCACTACTAGCTGTCGCCCACGACTCCGTCCGCGCGGAATTAAAAAAAACATAATGAGTCAATAAAGTTCAAATTGACTCTACATTTTATTTAGAAAACGATTATATCGGAAAAAGGATAGGGCTGTTTTTAGGGTTCTCCCGGCAATTACTCCAATTTTTCTCACTTTTTAAACCTCCACGAACATTTCAAGACCAAGAAAAGATAAATTCGTTGAGCCGTTCTCGAGTTTTAGCGAGACTGACGAACAGAAATTGATTTTTATATATATAAAGATCACACATAGCGCAGGTACCACTGCTATAGAAATTCAAATTGATCAGGCGATTATTTGCTTAGTGGAAATCAGGTCTAAGTTCTTTCATAATAACCCAGACAGACAATGCAGTGACTTGGATTATCATATTATAATAAGAATAATAACTCAGATGCTATTGTTGATTAAGTTAAGAAGTTAATATTTAAATTTTCTATTTTTCAGTGCAGTGAGTAAAATGAATTAAAAACTTGTTAAAGTAAAATGATCATTTACACGTCACGAATTTGAATTTAGAATTACTTGAATGCATCAAATCAAATAACAAAACCATTTACCATGTAATGATTTTTTATTTTGTTTTTATTTAGTAGATATTTTAGTTAAGAGGGTCGGTGGAACAGGGGTCAAGCACTTGACTTGCAATATGCAGCTCTTAGGTTCGAATCCCGCCATGTATTGAAAGTAATATCAATGTGTTTTTCGATTTCCGATTTACATATGTACATTTATCCTAAGTTCTTACGGTGAAGGAAAACATCATGCTGCACATATCTGAGTAGAAATACAAAGATATGTGTGAAGTAAACCAACCCGCACTTAGTCAGCGTGGTTGACTATGGCCAAATCACCCTT